AGAGGAGCATAAAAGAATTTTGTTCCTAAGTGTCTCCAGGGTACAAGAGGACCTCCAGTTCTAGATTTTTTTTTTCACTAGACTATAATGAGAGACTAACAACACTTGTGTTAAGTGGAAATGCTGTGTAAGCAAGGATGATACTAAATATGGGCTAATCCAAAATGGTATCTATTTAGTTTTGACAAACATTTATATGAATACATGGAAGCTAACATTTCACTTCAAACAAAAATACAAAACCTGTGTTTGTGATGATCTCATATAACTTAAAATTAGCAAAGCATTTACTTAACAAGTTGAGTTCATGTTTAAACAGAATGTGGCACCAAGTGAAGTTGTGATGTTTTATCAAAGATTTTTTTTTTGCTGGTCCTTGGGCTTGAACTTAGGGCCTGGGTGCCGACCCTGAGCTTTTGTGTTCAAGGCTAGTGTTCCAAAGAAAGCTCCAAGGAAAGTCTCAGGACTTTCCTGACCTAGCTGGCTTCAAACCTTGATCCCTAGATCTCAGCTTCCTGAGTAGCTAGGATTACAGGTGTGAGCACCACACCCACCTCATCAAGGCTTCTTGAATGCAGAGTTTATGCAGCAGAGAAGTATACATGATAAGGGAAGCAAACATGGTGATCAAGTGGGACAGTGCTGCTTATAAGTGGGGCAATGGGCCAGTATTGGAACAGTGTTGTGTTCTATTATGCCTTCTTTATCCCCAGACATAATTTATGAAGAAATGGGGAGTGAAATAATGGATCAGAGTCATAACAGCTAAGTGGGTAGGAAGATCTTTAAGCTGTGTGTCTGCTGCCAAAAATCTGTACTTCCTAAGCTTCTCATCTCCAATATTTTCCTCTTTCCTTTGACAGTGAGAACAGCTGTAGTGTATGGTTCCACCTAATTTGGGAGTCAGGTTTCTGGTCTGTTTAGTAGACAAAAGTTGGATGTGGTTGAACATTCTTTTAACCCTAGCTTCCTGGGAGGTTGAGACAGAAGAATCACAGATTTGTGGCCAGCCTGGGCAATTTAGCAAAACATTGTTTCATAGTAAAGTTTCTGGGGCTATAGTTCAATAGTGGAATGTTTACCTGGCATTTGCAGCATCCTAGGTTTAAACCCCAGTACTATCAAGGTGGGGATGTGGTAAATTGTGTAACTACTTTGTATACTTTTAAAATGCTGTGCTTCTCTTAGTCTAATTTGAAAGATAAATTTGTCATGGATAAGCACAACAGAGGAAAAGTTAGGTTTGGTAAATTGCTTTGTTTTTGTGACTCATTTTTTTTCTGTAGAATATATTTGAAAAGGAAACATTAAGCATTGAAAATTTGAAGGTCGTAAGACAGACTGTTGAAAATCATAAAAGAATAAACTCCCTTGTGTTTAGGAACATGTGACAACACAGACTATTTTGTATTTTGGTATTTAAAAAGTTAAAACCTTTTATGGGTTAGGAAATAATGAGAAGTTATAAACCTAACATAAAACATATAAGTTGATTTTTGTTGTGGTGGTGGTGGTATTGTTTCGTCAGTCGAGGGCTTGAACTCTGGGCCTGGGCGCTGTCCCTCAGCTCTTCAGCTCAAAGTGAGCGCTCTACCACTTGAGCCACAATGCCGCTTCCAGTTTTCTGGTGATTAATTGGAGCTAAGAGTCTCATGAACTTTCCTGCCCAGGCTGGCTTTGAACTATGATCCTCAGATCTCAGCCTCCTGAGTAGCTAGGATTATAGGCATGAGCCACCGGCTCCTGGTGAGTTGATTTTTTTTGGGGGGGGGGGGGCGGTTGTGGGGCCTGAACTCTGGGTCTGGGCACTGTCCCTCAGCTCTTCAGCTCAAGGCTAGCACTCTACCACTTGAGCTACAGCACCACCTCCGGCTTTTTTCTTTTTTGCTTATGTGGTGCTGAGGAATCGAACCCAGGGCCTCAGGCATGCAAGGCAAGCGTTCTACCACTGAGCCACCTTCCCAGCCCCATGTTGATTTTTTAAAATAAAAAGTAGTTGTTGGATTTTTTGACTTTATAACAACAAAATTTTCTAAAGATTTTAATCAGCCAGGCTTGGTGGCATACATTGGTAATTCTAGCCCTTGGTGGCAGAGACAGGAAAGAAACTTTGCCCCCAAAAGATATCAGTTAGGAGGAGTAACAGCACATGGATATAGATATTATATGACTGTGTTAAAAATTACCTTTTTAGAGAGATGCTTATTGTAGAAAAATTAACAAATTCACTTAGAAATTTTATATCTTGAAGCTATGACAGCCACCATAATTAGCATTTCTTCATAAATTATGTCCGGGAGACTACTGGTTGGGTAACTTTATATATTATATAGTAGAATATGCTTATGTTAACGATTACCTCTTTAAATTGTAATATTTATATAATTTTCATGAAGTGGGCTATTTTGATGAAAATCAAAAAAATCTTTTAGTAGCAATTCAGTTGTTCTAACAGCATAGAGGAATAATCAAATGTAGAGCAAGGATAGTATACCTGTGTTTATCTTATAATGAACTGACAGTGTAAATAGGTAATTTCTCCCATTTTCTTAGCTCGTTTTTGGTGGTGTAGTTTCTTTCTTTCTTTTTTTTTTTTTTTTTAAGAGGTACTTTTCAAATGCTGGGAGGGGGGGGAGCACTATAAAATCGTACTTGTGTTTCAATTCTGTTTAGCAAGAGTCAATTTTTAAAAAGAATACCACAAATTGTCACCATCAGTTAGTTAATATTCATTTACTGATTCAGAGTTCTAGCCCTAGTGCCAACTGCTTTCAACTTATTTAATCTTGGTTTGCTAATGATAGGTGTAAGATGATCTTGGAATACGGGATTCCTAACTGTCTCTCATCGAAAGAGGGAGTTGGAAAGGCTTCATTTCCTTCTTTTATTAAAGATTATATATTACTGACTTGTCCTTGTTTGAGTATATTGGAAATGGAAAAATGACAATGATCATAATTTATTTTAACTGTTAAGTATTATAATTAAAATATGAACATTTTGCTGTCTTTATGATGAATACTAAATTTAAGCTAAGTTATAAGGTGTGCTGTTTGGAAATATGGAAGATACAAGAATGAAGCCAGATAACAAGTTTATACTTGTATTTTCTACTGATGAAGACTTTCAGACAAGTTATTTCCATGGGTAGGTGATGTCACTCTGCATGTATATATACACTTATACTTACTTGCATGATTATACATGTAGGAGTGGTACAATTTTGACTTGACTGTTGACCTGTGTCCTCAGTTTGGGGGTGGAGGTGGGGAATGTGAGGACAAGAGGCTCTGAATGGTATCAGTGATATGTAGTTTAAAATAAATTGCTAATTTGGTAGAAACTCCTCGGGGCGGGGGGGAAGGAACCAACATAAAGCTGTTTTAAAAGTAGAACATACGGTCAAATAGTCAATATTGTACTTGGCCCTCATATTTTCTGCACCCAAATATTTGGACATCACACAATTCCATAATAATCATTTAAAACTCTGACGAAGATTCCATAGAACAATGTAAGTTTCTTTGGAAGAGAAAAACCCCAAAAATGAGCTCTTTTTTTTTTTCTCTCCCCATTTGTTGGTAAAATCTATTACCAACTGAAACTAAGGCCATATTGTTAAATTTTGGTGAATTTGATTTATCCTTTTAGGGAAATTGGAAATAATTTTTGAGAAGTCAAAATTGTTATGATCGTCAGAATTTCATATTGTGACATGTCTGTTCTTTATACGGTTGCACCTAACAGTTCATTTGCTCTTGTGTTTGATCATTTTTCATTTAAAATACGTTGTTACATAAATCTATGGTCTACTAGCTAGTTTTAGGTGATTCATCACAGTTGTGTTCCATGATTTTGTTCCTTGACATATACACAATGGATATCTGTGTTAAAATAGTAACATTGTGTTGTATTTCTTTATCCATTGACATCTGTATTTCTGTGTAGTCAAGACTTTCATAAAATAATTGTATTTAGAATTCATTTGTTGAGTTCATAGTTAAAATCTTTATGGAAACAAATGGTTTGCTTACACTTCATGTGTAGTTGTTGAAAGGGAAACAATTCCTTTAGCATTCTAATGTGGGAGTAATAGAGGGATTTCTTGAGTAAAAACTTTGATTTTTGCTTTTGCTATCATGTTAAGAAAAGGGAAGCTGTGCCATTTTAAAGCATGTATCTATTCTTCCAGCATGAAATATTGAGTTTTTTTTTAAGCACGAATTGCTACCATATAATTACTTTGGAATTTAATTTACCTTTTTCAGCTAGTTAGGATGATTTGGAGTGAGAGAGACCTATTATTTTTCCAGTAAGAACTATAATACCTTCCTTTAAAATCACTTATAAAATTGTATATTATTTACTTGAAGTGTGAGCTGATTGTCTTTCTCAGGGAAAAGAAAATATAAGTATCCCTCACAAGACATCCACAGCAAAATTCTGAAAATGAATTTGTTGCATTTTCTTTTAGTAGGATGCTGTAAGGTGTATAACATCTCTGCTTTTATAAAAGGGCTTTACTAGAAGTAAGTTAGTTAAATCAAACTCTGGTGTTAACTTTTTAAGTAATACATATATATTTGATTTTTTTTTCCTTTCTAAATCTAGCTACTAAAAGAATTAGATTCATTGGATTTTGATAGTGAAGTGTCTTTCCTTTAGAGAGTCAGTTTCACTTTCCTTGTGATCATCCCCTTTTTCTTAATTTGTTGCTCTTTAGAAGTATGGCAGGAATTTGGTGTAACATTGTTCAGTATAGTCTTGTCTTCTGTTCTTCATAATGACACTCCTTTTCCTCCAAGAACGTGTTCCTCACCTCTATAAGCTCAAATTATCTTTTCACCTTTAGATCATGCACAAAATTCTTGATTTATAAAGTGTAGTTTTTCCAGTCAGAATAATATGTTAAGGCAATTGGCATTTAGAGGGCTCTTAATTTCTGAAGTATTTTTCACCCCACAAGTTAGATACAAGTATACATTTTCTTTCCTCCCTAGATGGACCTCCAGTTGTAGCTCATTATGATATGTCTGACACCAGCTCTGACCCAGAAGTGGTAAATGTGGACAGTTTATTGGCGGCTGCAGTAGTTCAAGAACACACTAATTCTGTAGGCGGCCAGGACACAGGAGCTACCTGGAGGACCAGCGGGCTTCTAGAGGAGCTGAATACAGAGGCAGGTTGGTCTCTCCTACCCCCTTCTCTGATGATGTAATGTGCATGTGTCCTGGCAGCTATTTCTCCTGGTAGTGGACCTTGCTGACAGAGCTGGCCATGTATAATAGACCATTTAGTATTGAAATGATCGTGACTATCCAGTCTTGCTTTTTACAGATTTGGGTAGCATCCCATTTATTTTCCCTAATCAGAGAGCAGGAAAAATAAGGATATGTAAAACAAAGTGTAGGTAGCAGTTAGTTTCAATAGGGTTATTTCTTGGATTAAAAATGCCCAGCACATGAGAAAGCAACCCAGATACCGAAAGATTCTTTAAGCAGTTCTTCAGACTTTACTCTCTAAATAGCAGTATTGCAACTAAGATGGGATACTGTTGAAACTCTCCCAGCAGGACTGTTCATCTACAGTTCTGAAGCTTGCTGGGTGGCAGTGTCTCTATTGATTCCTCCATAGCAAGTTCTCATTTGCCTTTTTAATGCCTTTTAGTTTCTGCCTCAAATATCTCAGGAGGAAAAAAATCTCTTTGTATTGCATTATTTATCTTAGTTCTGTGATTATTCTTTCAGTTATATTTATTCACTGAGAAAGACACTACTTACACCTTTGAAAACCTTACAGTGTTTGCTTTAATATCTTCTTTGAATATTCTATAATTTAAACCTTTTTTTAGGCATAATATTAAAGGGGAAGGAATGTGAAAATACTGCTTATATACTGTACATTTTCCTTAAACTGTTTTTGAAGGATTATAGACATTGATTTTATGTGCTAATTTAGTAACTTAGTCACTTCCTAAAATATTTTTATTGAATATGTTTTATGAAAGTTGATTTATGGTTTTGAACTCTGTATTAAAATAGAACACCACTAATTGTTCTGAATTCCTTTTATAATCTTTGATTAGATTAAAGAAAGATCACTAGTTAACCATCTAATTAATTTATTATGGCTAATTTGAAGACTAGTTTTATTTTGGCTCTGATTTGATTGCCGATTACGTCTGATCTTAGACCAGTTGTTTTCTCTGAACTTTATTTTGTGCCAGTATTGAGGCTTGCCTCGTTCTCTGGCTTGCCCTTTTCTGCTCCTGGCTGGCACTTGACCACCTAAGCTGCATCTCCAATTATAGCTTGTTTTTGGTTAATTGGAGATTATTTATTAACCCAGTCTGGCTTTGAACCTCGATCTCAGCCTCCTGAATAGCTAGGTTATAGGCATGAGCCAATAGTGTAATATGGCTGGAGTTATTTATTTATTTATTATTGTTGTTGTTGTTGCCAGAGTTATTTATTATTGTTATTGTTGTTGTTGTTGTTGGTGGTGATGGTGTGTGTGTGTGTGTGTGTGTGTGTGTGTTTGTGTGTATGTATGTATGTGTGTGTGTCTGTGCGCGCATGTGCTGTGTCCCTGAGTTTTCTTGCTCAAGATACTCTACCACTTGAGTCACACTTCCACTTCTGGCCTTTTCGTTGGTTAACTGGGGATAAAAGTCTGTGGACTTTCCTGCCTGGGCTGTTTTCAAACATGATACTCAAATCTCAACCTTCTATGTAGCTAGGATTACAGGCATGAATCACCAGTGCCTGGCTAATTTTTTTTTTAAATTTAAATTTAGGTCTAGATTCAGCATATGAGAGGATACAGTTATCTGGCTTTATGAGTATGGCTTATTTTGCTTAATATATTAACTTCAGTTTGATCTATTTTTCTTCATGTCATTATTTTATTCTTTATAACTGAGTAGTATCCCACAGTATATATGTATATTTATATATACTATATATAAAATGTGTGTGTATATATATACATATATACATAATATACAAATATACACACATATGTACACCACATTTTCTTTGAGCTACTTGATCTATTAATGAGCAGCTAGATTTATCCCATGACTTAGTGGTGTGATAAGCATGGGTATGCTTATACAGATGGTCTGTTGTGTGCTGACTTGTAATTTCTTCAAGTATATATCCAAGAGTAGTATAGCAGTGTCATATGGTAGTTTGAATTTTAGATGAACCTCTATATTGATTTGAATTTACTAATTTATATTCCCACGAGCAATGTATATCTTTTTCCCTTCATATCCTCACCATTATTAGTCCTAGTAATTTCATTAGATTCAGCCAAATAATTTAAGGTTTGAAGTCTTAAATATCAGTAAAGCTACTAGCATTAGGGATAGTAATCACATTCAGGTTCAAGTATAGTTTCATGAACCAATTCATGAAAAATTAATTACAGAATTCCTGTGGGTATCAAAATCCCAGTATGCACATCTTCTGTGTATTTTCAGTCATCTCTGGATTGCTTTTTCTCCCTGGTGCCGGCGTTTGAACTCAGTGCTATGTACTCACTCAGTTTTGCTTGCTTGGCTGGTGCTCTACCACTTGAGTCATGCCTCTAGCCTGGCTTTTTACTGGCTATTTTAAAGATGGAGTAGTTCAGACTCTTCTGCCTGGTTTCGAATCATAGTTCTCTGAATTCTCTTAAATTTTTCAGTAGCTGGGTTCACAGGAGTCTTACTTGGGTTACTTAAAATATCTATTACATTATAAATGCTTTGTGCATAGTTGTTATATTGTTTAGGAAATAATGTCCAAACAGTGTATATATGTTCAGTACAAATATAACTTTTCCCCTAGTATTTTTCATTCATAGTGGGTTGAATACATGGATATGGAACTCCTAGGGAAGTAATAGTTAGCTTTTTAAAATTTAAAACCTGATACTTGGGTAACTGCCACCATCTTTTTTAAGATATAAAATATTGCAAAAGTAAGCTGGGCGCCAGTGGCTCACGCCTGTAGTCCTAGCTACTGAGGAGGCTGAGATCCGAGGATCACGGTTCAAAGCCAGCCCAGGCAGAAAAGTCTGTGAGACTCTTATCTCCAGTAAACCACTAGAAAACCAGAAGTGGCGCTGTGGCTCAAGTGGTAGAATGCTCGCCTTGAGCTGGAGAGCGCAGGGACAGCGCCCCAGCCCAGAGTTCAAGCCCCACCACCGACTAACAACAAAAAAAAAAATTGCAAAAGTATGGGAGGGGGAAAAGAAAATCTCCTTTTCCCTTCTTACTCAGTAAATAACCCAAATTTGGTATTTAATGTTTGGTATTTTCATATTTCTTTGTAGCTTTTTGCAAGTGTTGATAATCGTTAGATGTGAGACTAGTTCATTTTCTTCTGCCTTTTAATGTTCAACTATATGAATATTCTCTCATTGGACCTGCAGGGGTCCTATTTTTAAATGATACTGTTATTAAGATTTGTCACTCTGGGTACTGGTGACTCATACCTTTGCAATCCTAGCTACTTAGGAGGCTGAGAGATCTGAGAATTACGTTACCAGGGTCATGAAAGTCCATAAGAGTCTTATTTATTTTCAATTAACCATCAAAAATGCCAGAAGTGGCAGTGTTGTTCAGGCAGTAGTAGCCTTGGGCACAAAAGCTCAAGGACAGGCCCTGAGTTCAAGCCCCAATATTGGTATGCGCATACACGCACACACACATGCGCAAACGCACACAGAAAAAAAGTCATATATCCTGTATGTGTCTCTTGGTATATGCATATATAACATCCCTGGAATATAATATATAGAGAGAACACAAGTTTTATTGTAATATAAATGTATAGGTTTGGCTTAGCATATAATCTCAGTTGAACATTAAAAAAGCCATTTATTTGCTCTTTCAAAGTCATTTTTACTTAAATATGACAATGTAATTATAGGAATGTAAGTAAAATGTACTATCATCATCATCATCGTCATCATCATCACCATCATTATTGGTTTGTGTCTACCAGTACTGGGGCTTGAACTCAGAGCTTTGTGCTCTCCTTAAGCTTCTTTATTACTGGCGCTTTACCATTTGAGCCATGTCTCCAGTTCCAGTTTTTTGCTAGTTAATTGGAAATACTAGGCTGGCTCTAAACTATGTTTAATAGCATCTTAAGGTTGGGATGTAACTCAGATAACACTTCAGTATATGCCAGACCCTGGGTTTTTTCCTAGCACTGGGAAAAATTAAAACAAAAAGCTCAGGAATTATAACTTCACTGGGTGGATAGGGTCATACAAAGAAGCATTAGAGAAAGCAAAGCACAAAAGTGGAGTAAAATTAGCACTACTTTAAAGGTTGTTAATATCATAAGTGAACTAACATACAGAGTGCTTAGTACAGGTTATAGCAAACACATGGTAAGTTCCTAGTAACCAGAATTAGGCTAATAATAATTTGCTGAAGTAGACTCAGTAAGGAACTGTGTAGTGTGTCAGTCAGTGATTTCTAGTTTATTGTCCTTCCCTGAAGTAGTAGTATTCCATCAGCTTTGTCTGAATACAGAAATAATTTAGGGTGCCTCTAAAAAGTTCAAATCTTCTGTTTCTCCTTAAGATTATATTAGTAAATCTGAAATAGGGCCTGGGAATCTCTTTTTAGTGATAATTCCTAGGTAGCTCTTGGATCCAGTATATTTAGGAAACTACCATATATCTTTTTGTAGGTGAGAGCCTGACAGACTTTCTTGTCTAATAGCTTTGAACCTCAATCCTCATATCTCAACATTCTGGTTAGGATTACAAGCATGAACCATTGGGGCTAGCTAGACTTTATAATATGATCAGAAATATAACAGATCAGAGACAATGTAGAGTCTATTGACTTTTGGAGTTGTATTTTTTTTTTTTTTCCACTTCTCCTCCTCCCAGTTTTAAGTTTTCTGTAATGTTTTTCCTGGAAGAATAAACACAAAGTAGTAATTCACTTTTTTTTTTTTTTTGCCAGTCGTGGGGCTTGAACTCTGGGCTTGGGCGCTGTCCCTGCGCTCTTCAGCTCAAGGCACTCTTCAGCTCAAGGCCAGTGCTCTAACGCTTGAGCCACAGCACCACTTCTGGTTTTCTAGTGGTTTATTGGAGATAAGAGTCTCATGGACTTTTCTGCCTGGGCTGGCTTTGAACTATGATCCTCGGATCTCAGCCTCCTGAGTAGCTA